CAATAATGAAATGAGTTTAAAAAATAAATAAAAATAATAATAAAAAAAATGAAATAAAAAAAAACTAAATTTAAGAAAGAATTTTTCAATATAAAAAATTAAATTAAATGAAATAAAATAAGAGATATATGAAAATTAGAAAAAAATAAATTTAGAAAAAAAAAATTAGAATTAAAATAAAATAAAATCAGATAAAATAAAATTTAAAAAAAATTATAATAAAATAAAATGAACAAAACAAACTAAAATTAAATAGAATAAAATGAAATAAAAACAATGAAACAATAATAAAATATGTTTAAAAAATAAAAAAAAAATATAAACAAAAATAAAATAAAAATAAAATAAACTAAATTTAGTGGAAAGTTATTTAAAAATAAAAATAATTTGAAATAAACAAAAATAAAAAAGAATATATTAAAATGAAATAAAATAAGATAAAGTAAAATAAACTAAATTAAAATAAATTATAATATTACAAAATAATTAAATAAAAATCAAACGAAATAGAATAAAACCAAATAAAATAAAATGATGATAAAACGAAAAAAAAAAAACAAATTATAAGACAAACAAACAAATCAAATAAAGAACTTATAAAAGTTAGTGAAAAATAATTTATATTAAAAAAAAAAAATAAAACAAAATAAAAGAAATTACAAATTAGGCTAAAATGTTTTGATAAAATAATTATATGAAATAAAGGAAAATAAAAGTAGTGAATTGAAATAAAATAAAATCAGATAAAACAAAATTAAAATTAATTACAATAAAATAAAATAAACTAAAATTAAAAAGAATAAAATTAAATAAAAACAATGAAACAATAATAAAATGAGTTTAAAAAATAAATAAAAAATATCTAAATTTAAGAAAGAATTTTTCAATATAAAAAAATTAAATTAAATGAAATAAAATAAAAGATATATAAAAATTAGAAAAAAAAGTTTTAAAAAATTATTAATATGAAATAAACGAAAATGAAAGAAAAAATTTAAATAAAATAAAATCAGTTAAAGTTGAATAAAGTAAACAAAATTAAATAAAACAAAGCAAAATTAAACGAATAAAAAGCAAATTAAAAATAATAAAATCAGATAAAAATTAATAATACAATAAATATAAAAAAATTAAACAAAGCAAAAGTAAACGAAATAGAATAAAAGGAAATAAAATAAAATCAGAGGAAATCATAATAACAATATTTTTATTTCCTTAAAAACATAAAATAATATTATAAAAAACTACAAAATAAAATGAAAAAATTAAATTAAATTAAATTAAATCAATTAAATAGAAAATAAGTTAAAATAAAATACAATGATGAAAATAATTAAAATAAAATATATACATAAAACAATATAAGCTTAAGGTAAAACAAAAAAAAAAATAAAATAAAATTGAAATTATGAAAACAAATATAATAAAATTAAATATATTAATATTAAATAAAATAAATTTACATATAATGGAGTTTTTTAAATTAAATAAATAGAACAATTTAATATAAATTTTAGTTACATTAATTTAAAAAAATTAATAAAATATAATCGTTTAAAATAAGAGGAAATGAAATAAAAATCTACGTGAAAAAAGTAGATGAAAATAAAACAAAGTAAAATAAAATAAAGTTGAGTAAAATAAAAAAATTAATAATTGCTTATTTAATTTTTATAAAAACAAAGTGGTGGATTCTTTTTTTGCTGAGGCCTTTTGACAGATTTATGAACATACTCGTATGTATGTGCAGATAATATAATTCTAGTAAAAAGCAAAGACATTAAATAATTATTTAAACTAAAAAATCGGCCTGCTTTTGGGTGAAAGAATGTGTTTGAAAATTATTATACATACATAGCACATATATGGACGATGATATATATGACAACAAATTTTCAATCGCGACTAATCGACGCATTTGTTTGCACTTCTTTTTATTAATATTTTAATTTTTTTTTAATTTTAAACAAATCGGCAGACAAGAATATTTTTTTTTTGTATCATACTGCTTTACAAATTTATGCAAGTACTTAAATATATTATATGTATGTGCATACATACCACTAAGTATGTATATAGTACATATGTACAATTTTTTCCGCTCCAAACCATGTCAACAAACGCGAAATGCATTCAAAATGTGTGCAAACAAGAACAAGAATGCCATATTGGCGGTTAGAAAAATTTACAAAAAATAAGAAAAGTAAAAAATAAAAAAAAAAGTTAAAAATACTGAATAAATAAAGTACGTAAAACCAACAACAAAGTGACCTTGTCTTGCTAGCTGCCAAAGCACCTGTTGAACGCGCTTGAAAAATTGCATGAAAAGTTTGCAGTGCACACAATCACAGAATAATAATAAACAAAAAAATATAAATAAAAAAGAATAAACAAAAAGAAAAAAGAACAAACAACAAAAGCAAAATATAAGTGCGCACAATTATGAACGCAAAACAAAATTGCATGAACTCGTTTTTTTTATTGCTTTTTTTTTACAAGTTGCACAAATTTATAATCACAATAGCAACAACAACCACACCAGAAACACATGAGTACACGACAAGCAAGAAAATGTATTAAAAACGCTTTAAACAAAAGTCAAATGCATAGTAAATATATTTAAATTTTATTTCATTTATATACTTATGTATATGTATGTGTATATTTGAATATATATATTAAATTAAACACATAATCTTGTATACATACAATAAATGTATGTATGTGTATATTTATATGAGCATTAGGCGCTATAATGCATTTGTCTATTTTATTTATTACGAATTTTATACACACAACAACAAATATCTGCCTTTTACTACCAGCTGGTTTTTTCTTATTTTATTTTGCTTCAATTCTTTTTTTTATTCTATCAAAAGCAAATTAATTTTTTTTTAATTCACTTTTAACCGTTAACACTGCACGGCCAGAAGACAACGAAACGACACGCTTAAGAAAAAATCCAAACACCGTTATAACATTAAACTAGCGATGCACAACCGCAACCGAGGAACGACCAAACGTAACTGAATGAATTTGACGTTACCCGCGAACAGGCAATGCGAGTCCAACTCAAGCACTCAGCCAGCCAGGCAGCCAACCAGCCAACAAACCAAGCAAGCAAGCACTCAGCCTACAATCAAACAAACAAATACGCGCCTCATAGCCCGGCGACTTGCCCCCACTTGCGCTCACATCAAACCGCTCATCTACCAGCACATCCAACTGCCAACGAGCTACGATAGTGCGTATGCCGACCGACTGACTCATGTGCACCGTGTTGCGTAGTGTGCGTTAGCCTCTGTGCAACTTGTGGCGGGAGTAGGCGAGCCACCCTCATCACATGCCACCGCAGTCGTAAGTTGACTTCCGATGCACATGCGCTAGCCATGATTTGGCGCGCTCGAAAGCCGGCAAAATAAACAACTACGCGTGCAACTAACGGTACCGTGACACCTGCGACACCGCTCGCCCTGAGTTTGTAGGCTAAATTTTTGTTTGTTTTGCTGCGAATTTCATTCATAAGTTTTTACTTTGTTTACGTTTGTTGTTGCCGTATTTTTAATGGTTTTATTTGTAGTAAAAGCTCATAGCGCGCACAAGCAGTTTTCCCCATCAGTTGAGATATTTAGTGTTGTGAAGCAAAAAAAAAATTTGTCGCTTCGATATTTTTTTCATAGTTAACCGTTAAGTCAAAAGCTGTTGGTGGAGCTTTTACGAAACTGTCAAACTGGATAGAAGTACTGTTATTTTTATTGCCGTGGTGATTGTGGAACGACGCAGAGAGATAGGGATACAGCACGCAAGGAAGGTCCATCTTCGTCTATTATTTTCATTGGATTGAGTCACCTTATCTAAAACGTCGTTCAGTGTCGAACTGCTTGGAGAGGTTGCCCCCGATTTTAACGGAGCTCTTGCTGCTGCTCAGTTTTACGGCTCATGAAGATCAGATAACCCGGCGTAGCGTAGAGGAAGCTAATTTTCGAATTACGCAATTCCCTTCGCAATAGGAAGATTATTGTAATGGAAAAATGTCCTTTAAAAGACATTTTAAAGGTGAAGTTCGTGAAGATAAGCTGAGTTGAAGGGGGTTTGGAAAAGATTTGATTGTTGATAACAACCTCTTAGGATCACAATAATGTTAACTGTTAGGTAAGGTGAAAGAAAGTGGTAGCTGTACTTGCGGCATTGAGTGGGTTCATTATGTTCTTCGGCTTGAACCAACTTTGTGAAATCGCAAAAGTGATTCTGGAGCTTGGAGATTGAAGGTTCAACGCCTCGATCAGCTGAGCGCCTAGTAACCGCAAATAATACTGCGTTAGCTATTGCTTAGTGTCAATAACAATTTGACATGTCCGCATTCCGCACTGCTTCACAGTAGTTAAATGGTACGCCCTGCTTTGAAAATGCAACATTTGAAGACGCTGGTGCTAGAGGGGCAGAGGCAGAAAGCAGTGACTGCACAAGTAAAAGTATCTCCGGCAGCGCCAGCGCAATGCCGCTCTTCTGTCTTACTTACTTATGAACGGATGACCGTGTAATGCCCATAATTTCTACTCAGAAGATATAATTGTAGCCTTTGATACTGAGTTTACCTTCGGATTTAAACGCTATTAGGGCTTGTCCATAAGAAATAACTAATTAACTTTGCTCTTATCTTCTCCCCAGGGGACATAGTTATAGCGTAACACTTAACCGACCACTCCTACCTTTAGTGTGAACTATGTTGGTTTTGCATTTTCCCTTAGCTATTAGCAAACCCATCTTCTTATTTTTAAAGTATGATGGAAATTTTGTGTATATTTTAAAAGTTTTTCTACTTTTTTAATAAAAACCTACTCAAAACTAAAATATTTTAAGGTTATAAAATATTCAAAAATAAAATTACCGAGATACCACAACTCTCAAATAACTCCACACAAAATAGTCCAAAATTACAATTTTTGGCTTTACATGCAACTCTGTCGCAACAACATCGAAAATGCTTAACAAAACAAAATGAGCAATCAGCTGTCAACAGCTGACTAATATTGAAAGAAAGCAAAATTGTTCGCATTTGATAAGGGCAAACTATTTGTAATTTCTATTGGAAGTGCTATAAGAGTCCTTAAGCATGCTTGCGGATGTGGACGTGTTCATATCTAACTACACCTTAGTTGATCCAGAAATATATCAGTTATGGATAGAAGGATTTTCTTGTAAGTATTAAAAAATTAGCCAAGTTATGTGTACAACCTAATACAGATTTTTCTCGTTCATACCACTACAGCCACCGAGGCCGTTTGTTATTTAAAACAAAAAGGATTCGGCAGCATGTTTGGTGCACCAATTGATCTTATTGCATCCGATGTACTGGATCACTATCGCACCTACTCTTTGATTGAGCGACTACTACATGCACCCACTAAATTGTTAGAACAATCATGTTTCCAGTTGGAGGCACAAACGCGGGACTTAATTATTGAAAAGTAAGTTGGAAGTTTCGTGTATCATTCGATTTCAGCATAACCGATGCCTCTTTATAGGTATTATTCTATTGATGATGCAGTGGCACGTGAAATTCTTGGCAAAAAATTGTCATCACGCTATAGAAAAGATTTGGATGAAGTGTCGGAAAAGACTTGCGTTAAACTAAAGTCCTGCAGGTTTGTATTGTGTTGATTTTTTCGTTGAATAAATTATTTTATTATTGTAATATATTACAGGCGTCAATTTGATAATGTTAAACGCATTTTTAAAGCAGTTGAAGAGCTACCTGGCAATATAACAAATAATATTAAGCAACTATTTTCAGTATCAGACGAATTGGCTAAGTAAGTAATATATAAAAGGTTTGAAAACTTTTCGTAGGATTAATGTCACTTTGATATTTTCAACTTATGCCCCAGAAAATACGCTTCAATTGTTTTTCTTGCCTGTCTACGCTTTGAAACTTCCAAAAAAAAGTTGCAGTATTTAACTTTCTCCGATTTGTTTGCCTGCTCGCAAGCCATAATGATTTACTGGACATATACGTACCAACACTCGGGTCCTGAGTACTATGACACGGAGATGGACAAAGAGTTTCTGCTCGATTTGCGTGAGTTGCGTTGTTTGCTCGATAAGGAGAAGGAAATTAAACAGTGAGCTTTTTTACACTTAATAAAAATGAATTTCAATGTATAACTTTATATGTATTAAAATTCTCAGTCTTGTTTGTCTGCGTTTAAAACCAGTACTATTGGAACGTGCTTACTATGAGTTGGACACGAATTTTCGGTAATTACCATGCATTTTTATTTTCTAGAATTTATTTTCCAAGTCTAAAATATTTATTTTTATTTTTATAGCTCTTATTGGCGTGCATTTATAACGATTGCTTGCAATTTACATCGCAATCGTGAGTTGCGTGACTTATTTTTGGACCTTTGCGAAAAACTAATAGAGCCTTGGCGTCAAAATGGCTGGAGCAGAGAACAAGTAAATAAATTTCTATCGGCCATAACACAAAGCGTGTTGGATTTAGAGATTTCACGGTGAGAGACCAGAGTTATGCATTTCTGCTATACAATAAATAATTACTCGTTTTTTATAGTGATCAAGAGACACGTTGCTTATGGGACCGTTATATGCAAGTTATTAGTATTTGCTTGGACAGAATGTATCACATTTAAAGAAATTTAGTATAAAGCATTTGTTTGTTATTTAATTAATTTCTGTTGCTCTTTATAGTGTTTAGTTGAAAAAGTGCTAATCTAATATTATGGCGGAAAGTAAATCATACGTATATATGCTGTATTTAAAATATAGAATTAAAAGCTTATCATGACAATTAAAAAAATTTATTTTATTTAATATAAGTTCTTAGAAGTTAATGGAAGTTTCCCGTGCAATTTTTTCATCTTTTAATTCTATTCAATTTGATTAAAAACGAAATATCGATATGTGAATGTACATACGTGTATGCACTTATATACACATGTGAAATATTGAGAACTTGGCTTCATCTGCTTTTATTTAAATTATTTTCAGTATTCTTCTTAACAATGAGCATTGTTCTCTTAAACAATTGTTTATTGAATTCATTTATTGCCTATTCATGAAAACTTCTGGCATACCATAATTCATTTTCGATTTTCCTGAGAAGCGGTATTGCGGATAGGAAAAACAAGGACAAGCCGGTTTAGAGTTGTAGCTTTTGGTTGTTTTCAAAGCAAGAGATACGTCAGAAAAGGAGTCACTGCATTCAGCACCACCTACAACAACCGCGACAGGCATTAAACAGCCACCTATGGCAGACGAAGAGCTCGAGCTGCCTCGAAAATACCGTGTAATACTGACTCAACTTACATCTGGATATTATAGTAGACTAAACTTCTACTCATCCAGGCTTGACCCCGACATATCTAACGTATATCCTACATGAATCCCCCCTCGGCACTAAACCTTTTTTCAAGTCAATATTGTTGTTGCAATCGCAGAAAATTTCCCCAAATTGGGTTTCAGGGAAAATTGCGGGGGTGACAGCCCTTGGCCGGAATAAATCTGGTGTGTTCCGGTATGAAGACGAGTTATGATGGGCAAATTGTTGTTGTCTTAACCTTTTATATAACTAATTTAATATAATCTAATTTAATTAATTTTTGTTTCATTTTACCGTTTACTTTTTTGTGCTATTTTATTTTTACTTTATTTTATTTTGATCTGTTTTATTTTCATTTTTTATTTTTTCTACAATTTATTTAAAAAAATTTAATTTCTTTTATAGATTTTCTTAGTATTATACTTATTTATTTTGCCTTTTATAAATTTATTTTATTTTTTTCATTAAGTTTTATTTGGTTTTTTTAAATTTTATTTTGTATTATCTAGAGTTTTATTTATGTTTTTATTTTTTATTTAAATTTTATTTTTCTCACTTCACTTTATTTTATTTTATTTTGTATTATTATTAGTTAATTTAACTAATTAATTAATTTTTTTTTTATTTTAGCTTAGATACTTAACTTATATTACTTGATTTTATTTATTTATATTCGTTTTTTTTGTATATTTTATTTTATTTTTCATTTTATTGTATAATTTTCTATTTTAAATAAATTATGTTGAGTTTTTTATTTTGGTAATTTTTTTAAATTTATTTATTAAATTTCATTCAATTTTTTTTATATTATTAAATTTTATTAATTTTTTTAAATTAATTTAACTATTTTACTTCATATTATTTTTTATTTTTTACTTTATTTTATTTAATTTTACTTAATTTCATTTAATTTTACTTAATTTTATATTATTTCAATTTATTTAGTTTCATTTGATGTTCTTTTATTATTATTTTTTTATCAAATTAAGTAATTTAATATTTATTTTATTTACTTTAATTTAAATTTGGTTAATTTTTTATTATTTTAGTTTCTTACTCAATTCAATTTAATTTATTAACTTTAATTAATTTAAATAAATTGAATTTAATTTTATAATTTTTTTGTACTATTTGAATTTATGTTATTTTTTTTAATAATTTTTTTTTTTTAAATTAAGTAATTTAACATTTATTTTATTTTATTTACTTTAATATAATTTTAGTTAATTTTTTATTTTTTTATTATTTTTGTGTTTTACTCAATTCAATTTAATTTAATTTATTAACTGTAATTAATTTAAAAAATTGAATTTAATTTTATTTTTTTTTTAATTTGATTATTTTAATTTATTTTATTTTTTTTACTTTATTTTATTTAATTCTACTAAATTTTATATTATTTCAATTTATTTAGTTTCATTTGATGGTGTTTTTTTTTATTATTTTTTATTATTTTTATTAAGTAATTTAATATTATTTGATATTTGAATCAAGTGCATTTTATTTTATTTTATTTACTTTAATATAATTTTAGTTAATATTTTTATTTTTTTTTTATTTTATTTTTTTTACTCAATTCAAATTTAATTTAATTTTTTAACTTTGATAAATTTAAATAACTTGAATTTAATTTTATTATTTTTTAATTTTCCAATTTTTTCATTTTATTTTGTTTTTTTCTTTATTTTATTAAATTTTACTTAATTTTATATTATTTGAAATTATTTACTTTTATTTGATATCTTTTATTTTTTAAGTCAATTAATTTAATACTATTTTATCTTTTAATCATTTTATTTTAATTTTTTTTTAATCAATTATTTAATATAATTTTAAGTAATTTTTTTTCTTTTTTAATTATTTTAATTTTTTTTGTTTGCCCAATAAATTGAATTTAATTTTATTATTTTTTCATTTCATTTTATTTTTTGTTATTCAATTTATGTTTTAATTTACTATTTTAATTAAATTTTATTAACCATATTTGATTCATTTCTTTCTTATTAATTTAACTTTATTTTATTTATTAATGGGGTTTACATAATTTTTTTTTGTTTTATAATTTTTTAGTTTAATTAATTTTCTTTTATTCGATTTTTTTGAATGAATCATTTAATTTTTTATTGGATTATTTAATTTCGTTTAACTTTATTTTTTTCATTCGATTCTATTTTGTTTAAATTTATTTCCCTTATTCCTTTTACTTCATTGTTTTATTTTTATATCTTTGTTAATTTTTTTTGTGAAATATAATATCATTTAATTTTTATTTCATTTAATTTGTTATTTATTATCGTTTTACAGTTAATTTATATTTTTGTTCAATTTTGTCAAATTTATTTCGTTTCATTTTATTCAATTTAATTCAATTTTATTTCATTTAAGCAAATTTTCATCTTATAAACCCAAAAGCTCTTTCGCATTCAACTGGTTTAGCGGTGAGCTCAACCCTTCTAGCGCTCGTCAAACGCTAATTCCAGCGAGAGCAACAGAGCTTTCAATCGCTTGTCGTGATTACCTTGTGGGTCGTCATGGTAGTAAACAAAGCTGGAGGGTGGCGGGTGCGCTTGTGCCAAATGCAGATGCATAGATACGAGCAATACATGTAAACCACCCTCCGCTCCATGCCAACCGCACGCTTCTATGGGGGAAAAGTTCAAAGCTGTTGTTTCCATTTGTCAAATGCATTCTTCCATTCCTCATAATCATTGAAGCTGGGCAGTGAGTTGTGTAAAATTCAGTTCTAATAGAAAATACGCGGAAATAAAAAATATTCTAGTGAAAATTTAAAGAAAAATCGCATTTAAAATATTAAAAAGTGATCAAAAGTTTAATTTAAGAGTTTCTCTTCGCTTCTGCTAACTAGCACTCGTGCAAAACAAAGCGGAGAGGCGCCACAAGTGGGTGCTTTGAGTGGCCTCATTGCAACATATGGTAGTGGTTGAGGTGTAGAAGAAGCCGGAAAAACTCTTCATTATCAAAGTGAAAATTCGAAAAGTTTCCTTTTAAAGCCAAATTAAACAAGGTTTCGCTCAATAAATCCCGGTGACTTCCCTCATTAATATTCAAAATTAGCGCTTGCAGCGTTGTTATGGAGGAAGTGGATGATGAGACTTTCGATGATGCCAAATCGACGCGTACCTCGGATGAGAATCGCAAGTATGTTTATAATTGTTTAAATTGCTTTTCATCTCATATTGATTGCTGCGCTGAATTTCAGACAAAACCACAGTGAAATCGAGAAGCGGCGCCGAGACAAAATGAATACCTATATAAATGAGCTGTCCTCCATGATACCGATGTGTTATGTAGTGCCCCGCAAATTAGACAAGCTGACCGTACTTAAATACACTGGTGAGTGAGGTGACTGGTGATATGACGGAAGTATTCTCTTGCTCATTATGCGACTGTTGTTGTTGTAGCGGCTACGTGAACCCCGCTTAGGGAGAGGTTTAAAACCAATCTGAGTCCCCGAGGTCATTTACCGGGCGGTCCAGGAACTCATTATGTGGCTGCACGGTATTGATGGGCTCAGAAATTCTGAACGGAACTGAACTAAATAGATATGAAGTAGCTGGAAGGATATCCGGCATAGAGAGATAAATGGATTTCTATGTAGGGGACAGACTGGCGGTGCACGCTGGATAATCGTGGATTCGAGTGTGGATCAGATGTGCCTCGGACGATCGCAACTCGGTTGGGAGGCATAAAATATTAATAAAACCTATATCAGGTTTGTTGTTGTTGCTGTTTTAACAGTAAGAACAACATTTCGCGAAATGGTTCCGCAGAAAGTTGCAGATGTCCAAGTCTCGTACGGAAGATAACCAGGAACGTGTCGATACTACGCTTCCCTTGTCGTGAGAATTATTAGACTTTAGTGCACGTTTTTGCCGTTGACATCTTACGTTTCCGCAAAGGTACATACTGGGCTGTCGGAAGCTCAACGTAAAGTTGGAAGAAGGAACCGTTAAGCTCCACAAATGAGATTTCAACGAGAATCGAGTTAATCCGAAGTTGTACAGAATAGATTCCGCGCTTAAACTGTTCACCTCTACCCTAGCTCCGAGCACGCTATCTAGCCACATAACGACCTCACTACAACAACAATAATGTTCTTTATTAAAGCGTGCATTAACATCTGCTTTCTTCTTCTTACTTACAGTACAACATCTGCGTAGCATACGCGGTAGCGTGCATCCATACAGTGGTGGCGATTACAAACCTTCCTTTCTATCGGATCAGGAACTGAAAATGCTCATACTGCAAGCATCCGAAGGTTTTCTCTTCGTAGTCGACTGTGACCGTGGACGCATTTTATATGTTTCCGAGTCAGTCTCACAAGTGCTGAACTGTTCGCAAATGGATCTACTCGGACAGAGTTGGTTTGATATATTACATCCCAAGGATGTGGCAAAAGTAAAAGAACAACTTTCATCGTTGGATCCATGCCCGCGAGAGCGCCTAATTGATGCGAAGAGTAAGTTAGATATATGCTGAAGCCTTATTTGTTTAAATAACACGTTTTCTTCCTTTTTTCACCCACCAGCCATGTTACCCGTCAAAACAGACATACCACAGAGTCTCTGCCGCCTCTGTCCGGGCGCACGACGTTCCTTCTTCTGTCGCATGAAACTCAAATCAAATAATAATCAAATCAAAGAAGAGTCCGACACATCCTCCAGTTCACGCAGCTCCACAAAGCGTAAATCGAAGCTAAGTGGTGATCACAAATATCGTGTTATACAATGTACCGGTTACTTAAAGTCGTGGACACCTCTTAAGAATGAGGAGCAGGACAGTGAGAGTGAAGATAATCTCACGAATCATTCCAGTTTAGTTGCCATTGGTCGTATACCGCCGAATGTTTTGGAATCAAATGTGCCACCTTCATTGGACAATCATCCAAATATAAGGCATGTGCTCTTCATTTCGAGACATTCTGTAGATGGCAAATTCCTGTTCATCGATCAGAGGTGTGTAGAAGAGATTCGATCTTTAATTAAAAAATATATATTCTATTTACTCTTCTCTCTCCCTCTCCCACTATCTCTCTCTTTCTAAATCAGAGCCACACTAGTTATTGGTTTCTTGCCGCAAGAGATGCTCGGCACTAGCTTCTATGATTACTTTCACCACGAAGACATTCCTGCCTTGGCGGAGTCCCATAAAATGGTCATTCAAGTGCCGGAGAAGGTGACAACGCAGGTTTATCGTTTTCGTTGCAAGGATAATAGTTTTATACAACTACAAAGCGAATGGAAGGCATTTAAAAATCCATGGACTACAGATATTGAGTATATAATAGCGAAGAATACAGTTTTTCTTTAAACCAGCGACGCTCTCCCAGACTTATTTGCATGTAGATACTAATTACATAAATTGTAGAAACGACTCTAAATATTTTTAATGTACTAATTGTGTTAATGTCTTATATATATATATATATATTTATATATACATGTTTTCATATTAGTGTTAAGCTTGTCATATTAACATTTTGCATATTGGAAAGAGAGAGGAGATTTTTCAGCAGATTCACACAAATAAAAACTCATTCGTTACACATTCGTGTGCGTATAAGAGAGAGAGAGAAAGAGAGAAAGAATGTGTAAAATTTTATTTTGTAATAACAGTTTTACTGAATGAGATTTTTTATCTAAATATAGACTAACGAAGCAAGCCAAACCCTGTAAAATCGCTGATGAGATGTTCCGTTCTTCAGCAGTTCTTCTAACGGGCAACAGGTTCTAGATATGAACCGTGCCGGATAGATAGAGGAAGTTAGAGGTAGTCGGCTTTGAGGAATTTAAGCATCGTCCAGAAGTAGCTTGAACCAACAGGACGATACTTACCGAACGTGTATTTTTACAAACGTCTATTGACTTGTAGTCAGGTTCCATTGTGCTACCGTTCTTTTAAAGACATACAGTTTTACCTAATTCTTTACAAAATCGATATTTCAACGATTTTCTCCGCAAGTTGATTGAGACAAAACTCTCTCAGGATCGTAGAGAACCTCCCTAAGGCATTCTATACCAAATCAGACTTCAGAGAAAGTGATTGCCTAACGTGCGACTTCTTTACTATGATACTGGAGAAACTCTGCTCTGTGGATAAGCTGCAATCTTCTATAGGAGTGTACGATTGCTGGCGTACACCGATGATAATGATGTCCTTATCATCAAAAACAGCGATATTAATTTCGTTTTATCCAAACTGGATACGGAAACGAATCGTAAGAGTCTGTTAGTGCACGAGAAAAAGACGAAATATGAGTTTCCACTGTCAATAAACAGACGCCGTATTCGCTGCTTGGCTCCTACGTCATTGTTGACGGTCATTACATTACGATACAGTCGTCCACAAGCGGCGTTAGCCTCGAAATCCCACGTAGAATAACTTTTGCCAACAGGTGCCATTTTGGGCTTAGTAGGTTAAGTCCTATTTAGACAATCAAAGACCAAACTCTATAGGTTGGTTATCATTCCCGTCGTGCTTTATGGTGCGGAGGCATGGACGATGACAACATCTGAGGAGTAAGCGCTAGGAGCTTTTGACAGAAAGGTTTGCCGATGCTTTGGGCATTGACAATGGCGAATACCGCGGCAGATGAAGCGATGAACTGTACGAGCTTTACGTTGACATTGATATAGTTTAGCGAATCAACAGGCTAGTTCATGTTTTCTAGGACATCTTCACCATGTCCGGTTGTGGGAGATCACTCTAGCTTTGAAAGTGCTCAATGTAGTAGTCGCCGATGAAAGCAGAGAAGATGGATGAAGACCTCCACTTTGTTGGAAAATATAGATGGAGAAGAACTTGGCTGCGTTTGGTATTTCCAATTAGAACCCAATTGCGAAAAGAAGATACGACTAGTGCGCTATTGTTAACTAGGCTATAATCGCGTAAGTGGTACCCATACCAGTAAAGAAGAAAAAGGCGAATATCGTTTGATAAAAAGCTTCGCATTTAGTCCTTTTTAGCTGGAGTTTCCCGCTCTCACATCAGCTACTCTTTGTGTGGTGCCATCACCCAGCTGATTAACCTCATAAAGAGATCTAATCACGAGCCGTTAATATAAAAAGAAAGTTTTCTTATTGCAACTGTCATTTGGCAAGGAACATCAGCTTCTCCGAGTGTATTTTGGACATGAAATGAAATGGTCCTCTTCCGAAAAATCCATCAGCAGTTTGTCGAAAAAACATCAAGAGTGAGTACTTTACAAATTTAAGGAGGAACTCGTTGGGATTACGCTTCAGCGATCATTTGTAGAACCTGCTTAGCTCAGATTGGCTTAAAATATGATGTCGATGAAGTCTAAGGATGCCAGACTATTCTCCCAAGCATTCTTTTTTCGTTTATTGGCTTAGACGGTTTTTGAATCCAAACCCCTTAGTCTCATAATTTTTGCTATCAGGCTATAGTTTAATCACATGAAGAACCCTAATCATGGGCTCGAGTTCTGGTTAGTGTTTTTTCTGAATGCTGTCTGTCTCATAGCAGGATATGTCAACCTCTCTTCACAATAACCCACCCACCTATCAAATAAAAAACACCTCATAAAAATCCATCGACCGTTCGGAGGCGGCACAGAATAAACTGTGGGTCCCTCCACTTATTGGAAAAACTCTAAGAAGCCAACCACAAAGTGAAGGAGGAGCTCGACCGAAATATATATATGTATATATATATGTATGAATATAAGTTGTTGTAGAAGTTTTTTTGGTGCCAAAAAGTTACAGCTTCCACTCAATTTTTTATTAAACTCCATAGGCTGCCTTAAACTATGCCCAAATGTGGTCAGTTTTTGAAATATTGCATGAGAAGCCAATGAGATGCCACAGCCCGAAAAATAATTAAAAAAATTAAATGAATATTTGACCTTACCACTTTCTTTCTATTAAGCTTTCTGCCGCTAGAGCGTTTCAAAAAACTATTTTTCGAACTTTTTTTCTTTAGTATATGGCAACTCTGTGACATTTTTTTTTATTACACATATTTACTTAATTTCAGTTATTCTTTCTACTCTTTCCGAATGAAATTTAACCTAAAGCTGAAACACAAGCTGACAGGTTGAAACCTTATTGTGTCTGCACATTGAAGAATATTGACTGCTCTCAAGATATTGCTTCCATAATGTTTAAAAGAGTCTTTTGCCAGAAATTTCACAAAAATTATGAACTTACTTCAATATTTAAATTAAATTGCCTCTACTGTACATACAAGAGAGCAAAGTCTCTTCTTCTTATTCCAAGAAGTTTCATCTCTAATCGCCTTGACCATTTCTTGGGATTCAATCGTTCTTGAAGTAGGCTAAACGCAAGCATTAGAGCAAAATATCATTATCAACTGCTGACAAATGTGCCTAATACATACATACACGTATATATTAGTATATTTTCAATATATAGTAACTTCATGTGATGCGTTTGATTTTTAACTTGAAAAATGCTTCTTTCTGAGGAATACTGAGAACTAGTTTCCACTGAGATATAGGTAACATATGCATATGTATGTGTATATACTCGTAAGTGAAGGGAGATTAAATCTTACATATCTTCATTAGGGTACAAGTAAGTTGAATTAACGGCTGCTGTTGAGAAGTACATAGCAGTGCTTGCCACGAACCGAATATTGTGATTTCGAATTCGTACCAGACCAAAGTTTAAGCCGTCTTTCCTGAATACGCTCTTTCCCTGGTAGCGAAATTAAGGATGCCTTGTAACAACCCCAGCAGCTCAGTAGAAGTCCATACTGATGTATTCTATTTGATATTCCCGCTAACCTTATACGGCTATGTGAAGTAAAACCGGAAGCGTAGTCAGAACTGGGAAGAACCATCTAAATGGATGAAAGCGCTCCAGATTTGTAAATAATTCGGTGTAGTACCCGTTGGTGCAAGCATGGGAAGAAGAAGACCTCCACTCCCTTGGAAGGATCAGGTGGAGAGCGACCTCATTTGACATGGTATTTCCAACTGGCGCCCAACAGCGAAAAGAAGGGATGAATGGCGCGCTTTTGTTGATTCGGTTACAATCGTATAAGCGGTGTCTTCGCCAGTGAAGTAGAAGAAGAGGTTCCACTGGGTGGTGTCCTCTACAATTCCACTGTTTATTTTTTTATACCTTGAAGCTTTCCTCACATCCGGAAGGCGTTTCTCTGATCTCATATGCCGTTAACTGCTCGGTATTGGCATCTTGCCAGGATGTTAATAATCTTCTCTCATCTATATATATCTCGCCGATCTTTCCCACTTCTTCACTGCACGAAAAATTACAATCCTTACAATCTGAACGATGCTACCTTTAGGGAATACCCCAATAGGAATCTTATTGAGGCTGAACCTCCACCCAGGCACATCAGGCAGTAATAGACTTAAAGGACACCATCCAGCAACACGTTTAACTAACGCTGGACAGGCTCAGACAGGCAGTGAACGACATTCACCAGGAGTCAGTTAACACTTTTAAAGAGACTCAAGCCCAACATATCCAACGAATGTCCTGCATGTAGAGAGTCTCTGCACGCCACAATCCGTCGAAATAGCTCGTTTCCTGGACCTATCGTTAGATGACTTCGGTGACTTAGATTAACTAGCCTGTCCCTAATCGGAACTAGTGAGCCGCTACAACAACAACAACAATCATCTGAACGAAAGGAAACCGGCAACCGACAATACCGGGGAAAAGATAAATGAACGTTGTTGGCAACTTACACGGCACAGATGGAGAAGCCACGAGCCTGTCAAAACACCGCTCTGAAGGCTATAACGGAAAGCCGCCAGTTTTCATTTATAATATTGGCTTCAAAGGTAGATCACTATAGCGTTCATTCTAGCAGACAACTACTAGAAGGCGAACCAGCATCTAGACGCATTAAGAAGGGTATACTTGACTTAAAAAACTCTATTCAGTTACCACCGCCATCAAACAAACAGTCATCGCTATGGTGACTCGGCTCCCAATAGCAACAACATTTCACATAACTTCGTCTATCTTGGAACCAATATTAATACCAACAATAATGTCGGCGTAAGATTTATGGTCCTCTACGAGTTGGGAACGGCGCATACCGCAGCCGATGAAACGATGAGCTGTATGAGATATACGGCGAGATTGACTTAGTTTAGCGAATGAAGAAAGAACGGCTAAGCTGGCTAGGTCTTGTGGTATGAAATGATAAGAAAAGTTTTTGATGCAGAGCGTTGGAAAGACCAGATAGAGAAGGCTCATATGTATAGTTGGAACTACTAGAAAGTAGTGTGCGGAAGGAAGATCATTTGGTCCAAAGTGAGCTGCGATTAGTAAGTCGTAGCGTAGTTGTCCAAAAAATTATGTATATCTTAGTTATATAAATCATAGTTATTATCATCCCATTTCTGTCGTTTAAACTCGCTACCCATCCACTTGAAGACATGATTTGACGTAACCCCTTTTGCCTACGCCTCAGAACTTTCTAATCCATTTTGATATCTATCCAAAACATGAAGTCAGTTCAAATCTACATATTCTCAGTAGCTCACATACAAATAATTTATTCTAAACACAATACCCTAACAACAATAAAAACAACAATAAGCGGAACAATTCAACCATACAAATTATACAATATTTCGGGAGTGTGCCGCGTTGAACGCATGTCGTCGCATACGAAAGACCCGCCGCCGATAGTCAAGCGTCGTGTTAACAAATGATAAATAGTTGAATTAAAAACAAACACAAAAATCAAAAAAAAAAAAAAAAAAAAAAAAAAACAAAAAAAATACCGTGAATATAATGCAAATACAAAAGAAAGAGTAATAACAATAAGCAGTAGAATTGAAATCAAAATAAATAAAAGAGGAACAAAATAAAAAGAAATCTTTCAAATTACACGTTAAACGCCAGAGCTTCATAATAATAGTCCACCACAGCAGGCCGGCGAGCGATCAGTTTCAGCTGAGTTATCGGCGCGACAAGACGTTAATTTCGGTGAATTTGTTGACGGGAGCAGACGAGTATTGAAAGGGCACATGCTTGTACTGGCGCATGGAAATTTAATACTACAATAACAATAAAAACAACAACAATTAAGAATTAATAGTTAATATACTATTGTATGATAGTTGAAAAGTATAATTTAGAAAATTATTTGTGTCAATAAATTATAAAGTGTTGATCGTGTTTAATTCACGTAACGAGCAGGTGATCACGGGAAACAAAATTTGAATAATCAAAAGAGAAAAAGATTTAAAGCATTTGTGATGAGTGCGCTAATCTTCTGCGTTGGCACCGTACTGGGCTATGTGCTCTACTTGCTAATGAAATCCGTCAAACGTCCAGCAAATTTTCCACCAGGTGAGTTGTGTTGAGTTGAGATGAGTTTTTAAGAATTCCAGTCCGGCATTTTGCAAACGGATATTCGATATAGCAGCTTAAGCGTGTTTGACTCAATCTATGCCACCGCTGAACAAAAGTTTTTTTGTGAAATTCGGGCTCCGATAGCGGATGGAAAGGACTCATTTGGGTACTTTCGATACTCTGCTCCACAACAGCAACTCTGAGGATGCGTCATTTCCACTAGAGTAAAAGTGGTGCGAAACCGGGTTTGGTTGCTCGAATTTCCAACTCTGCTGGATCATTATGTCGACCGAAGATTGGTCGCAACGCGTGATGTCTCGCTCAAACAGAACTGAACCGAACCATTGTGAGTAAGTCTGTTTAAACAGCTATTGAAAAGCCCACCACCGATAAAAGTGTTTGCCTCATTGAAAAGCATAGAAAATCGTATAAAAAACACCGTTTTTTTGAGAAACATTTATTAATAAATACTACAAATTCTGCTCTGAAATCATAGTCACATCACCACATAGAGATGGAGATAGGGGACGATCTTACAAGGAGAAGTATTTCCTTTCCATTTTCGCCCTCAGGTAAAAGTTTGAGGCTGCCGAGTGGTTAGCATTGCGTATTGACATTAGGAAGGCTAGGGTTCAAATGCTGTTACCACCAACATCCAAAAGTTATGGAAAATTAATTTAAATAACAAATGAATTTGAATTTTCTAATTGCGATCGCCCCTCGGCTGGGAATGTCCACACCTCCGAGTGTATTTTGAACATGAAATAAGGGCTGCTCGTAAAAAAAACATCAGCCGTTCGGAAGCGGCTTAGTATAAACTGTAGGTCGCTCCACAGGTTGGAAAAACATCAAGACGCAAAACTACAAATTGGAGACTTCGTTGAAATGGCGATTGCAAAAATAAAACAGTTTTGTAAACTTCACTCATTGATTTGACTAACGAATGAGTGTTATTTGGGTAAGATAATGCCCGACCACTACTTCTAAAAATTTTGAGCTCTTACTTAATCTAAGCCGCTGCAAAAAATTTGTTTTTTTTCGTCTCAAAACTAGCCTGACTGTGGCTGTGTTCTTTTCCGTATTATCGCTGAGCAGTTTACAATCATCACTCTTAAAAACTGAAGCTGCTTTCTTGCTGAACAAGAAATATTAAACTACTTTGGGTTGACTGCCCATTTAAGTCAAATGGACGCCGGTTTTCCGCCTAATTCAAAGGGAAGAGTTTCTGTATCAAATCCAGTGAAAATCCATGACAAAATATCTACGGTTTCATCTCTGCCTCATTACAAAAATTGCTCTAATGCAGAAGAAAATGAGTTCAAATCCTAAACAGATAAACATTGAAATTCAGTAATATGATTTCAATAAAAATCCGTCAGCCACTTAGGGGTGGCTTAAGGGGTTATATCCACTTGCAAAACAAAATAAATGCTTTTTTTTGCTAATTTTTTTTAAGAGGCATTTTATTCTGTAAATTAATAGAAAAAATGTCAATAGACAGAATTTAATGTAATGGATTAACAATAAACAATTGAATAAAAAAATATTGGACCCTCTTGTTCCTGCAATCGATCGCAAGTAGGGCCTCAAAAAAAAGGTGTCTGGCGATGAGGAATACATATCAGGTGTACAACTTTGCTTCCGCCGTTTTCCGATAGGTGGCTGTACCGGCTGAGGCTGTACCGGCTGAGGCTGGTTGAAATAAATAGATGATAATGCCTTTAAAGTGCGTGTGGACAGTGCCTAACGAATTGTCATCGCCGTTTCAGTGACAGTTGTTCTTGTTTTCGTATTATTCACGCTCGAAAATGTCCGTTTTGTGCCTAATTCTCGCCATTTGCGGGAAGTTTTACATTTCTGTTACAATTCGAAAAAAAAAATGAAGCGGAAGCGCATCGAATGCTCTCAGAAACTTACAGTGATGCTGCTCTGAGTGAAGGAACGTGTCGGTAGTGGTTTCAACGTTTTAAAAATGGTGATTTCGATGTCGAAGACGAACATGGTGGTGGAAGTGAATCAGCTCGGTGTGATTTACTACGAGCTCTTGAAACCAGGTGACACCTACACAGGAGATCGCTACCGCGCCCTAATCGCGCGCTAAAAGAAAAGCGGCCACAATGTCATGAGCGACAAAGTCATCCTTCAACACGACAATGCTGGGCCTCACGTCGCAAAAGTGGTTAAAAAGTACCTGGAAATGCGAATCGGTTAGGTAAAGTTAAACTACTTCGCCTTGGGCTTCGCCTATTTTCAAACGACACTAGACGTGCCTAATGATACGATCATATCTCCGAGACTGTTTGTCGGCTTAACTTCAGATTTTCGGAAAATATTCTCAAATATGTGTACTCGAAAAAAAAAATAGATTTTTTTGGCTATTACAAGTGGATATAACCCCTTAAAATAAAACTGTATGGCATTTATTGGAAATAATATAAAAATTCGCACCACAATTTGGTGGAACTCCTTGGACGAAAATCGCCTCAGTAGTTATTAGGTGCCAATTAAATACTTATGGTATCATTTCCACAAAAAAATTATTATGTAGGATTATTTTAACTTTGTCATGAAACCTGATTTGCTTACTACGACGGACTGAACATCGTCTGTGTTATACTCAAGACGTTTTTTAAACAGTTCATATCATTTTTATTTGAATTATTTACTAGGGCACTACGCTTACTACTATTCAAAACGATTTTTGATTTTGCAGCTGATTTTTTTATATACTTTTTTAAACTGATGGTTTAATTGGCACGTTTTTATAGCACAAAAGGAGATTTTATATTGTGCTTTGTTTAACAATTTTGACACACTTAAATACAAAATGAATTTAAAAACGAAATTAATATAAACATTTCACTAACACGTTGTACTGTGCATTGTGGTTTATCGTAAAATTTAGGGCATTTTACTACGTTTTTAGTATGAACTTCACGGCATATACCCGTACATACTTATGTAGGAGAAAATGTGTACGAGTAAATAGCATTAAAAATGTTCAAAATCATATTTATAAAAATCGAAGCTTTAATATTTACTATTTAATATTTACTATAAATATATGGTACTAAATATAATATAAAGTAATACCACAGAAAGAGTCTAAATGTGCTTCATCACAAAAATGTGGCAGCCGAGTATATCATACCAACTGCTTACAGGAAAATAACGATTTTTAATAATTTTTCTAACAAATTAAATTTCAGAAACTATTACCTTTGAGAGTAGAGGCTTAAAGGGCACACCTAGTGTAATGGCCGAAAAAAAGGTGATTTTTGGGAATTTTTATTATAAAAAAAGACTTTGCCAATTTTTTCAAAAGTTTAAGAATACATTTATACATGTTTCAAGAATATACAATGAAATTTTTGAAGAAAAAAATTTAATATTTTTCAAGTTATAGTCGATCTCCAATGGCGCGAAAAAAAGATCCTTCACTGCTGCAGTGATTCCGGCCGTCTCTCTCTGGATGAAATCTAAAAAAAAAGTTCTCTACTAGATAATATTGTAAGTACAATGACCTGCGATAAAAAAAATCAAAAATTGACAATATGGCGGCGTTTTAAAAAAATAGTCGAATTTTACCCAAAATTTTGGTCGTTTTTGGCCTGCCAAAATTCGATTTTTTGATCAGATCAAAAATCGATAAGTCATTGTACGGAGAACTATATATATAGAACATGTAAAAAAATTCGATAGTGATCGGATTATTTGTTTTTGAATTTTTGTAGTCACTGCAGCAAATTCGGAAAATGCTGTTTCGAAAAAAACTCGTTTAAAGATAAAATGATCGTTTTCACTCGTAGCTAATGAGACTCTCTAGCTGCCGAGCGGCTGCTCTTTGAATTGCTATAACTCAAAAACTATTTGAGATATCGATTTGAAATTTTAATATGTTATTTTTAAAGGTTTAATCTACGAAATATGAAAAAAGATCGGTTTTTTTTTTAAATGTCATACTAGGTGTGCCCCCTTAAAGAAGGAAATAAAACCAAATGTTAGTTTTGCTCTTAAATTTTATTTACATAAAACTATTATTTCAAAGGAATAATCCGGGAACACTTTCCACGGCGACTTTGCATGTTGTTCAAGTACATTAAGACCAGAAAGCTTCCGGGTATTGTTGCCCGAAACGAATGTTACCGCGCAAACGTCTCAAAAAGCTCAAATAATATTCTTTATAGATCGTCTGTGTCGTTGGAACAAATTCGTTTTTGAACCAAAACTCGAATATCAAAAAAAAAAAAAAAATCCGGAAACGTTCTGCTCTTAATGTAGCTTAAGGTACTACTTTGTGATAAAGAGCAACTAACTAAGTTGACTTCAACGTAGAGCAGACCTATTCAAAGCGATACTTAAAATGAACCTAAGAATGGCTACAAGACATTCCGTTCAACACTATATGCTTTCCACACGAACCCGGATGAAGGATGGATTTCCATGAGGTAATTATTTTACTCGGCCGCGGTAGCCGAGTGGTGAGCATTGCGTGTTGCCTTTCGGAAGGCTAGGGTTAAAATCCTCTTACGACCAACATCCAAAAGTTATTGGAAATTAAGTTAAATTTTCTAAATGTGGTCGGCCCTCGGCAGGGAATGTCAACCCCTCGGATTGTATATTTTTGACATAAAATAAAAATTCCTCATGAAAAGAAAACCATCAAGATGCAAAACCAGAAATTGGAGGAGGAGATCAGCCGGAAATTGTTTCCGCCGTTAAAAAGGCACAATTATTATTATAATATATTTCTTTTTTCCGAGTTGGTCTTTTTGACAGCTGTTACTTGCCATTTTCTAGTTAACGTACTTACTCCGGAACAACATTTGCCTATCATGCAAATTTATTACCAAAATAATAATTCGGATTGGTTAGATATAATCGCCTATCAGAGTGGATAATTCGGGAAACCATTTATCGGTTTTGCACCTCGTTTATTCTAGTGGATGATGCGCATACTAAGAGATGCCATATAGTGCACATCGAAAATGCTTTCG